CCCCGCCACACTGGTGCTGCTGAATGCACACCCGCTGCTGTGAGGGCAGGGCCCCGGGAGCTACGGGGACAACCGAGACAGCGCGGCATCTCCGAGTCCACAGCACAGAGGGAGGGGACTGGGCTGTGTCTGCAAACTGTTCAGAGTGCAAGGGATTACACGCGCGGGCCTTTCTCTAACCTGGTAGTGGTCAACCTCCGCTGGTGAGCAAAATGATATAAAAAAAAAAGCAGGAACAGACCCCTTTGGATTTCCAGTTTCTTGCTACACCCTAACTTTTCCGGAATGTGAAATTTCAGTGGACTCACAAAACACATCAGCAGAGACTGCTCCAAGCGGAGAGGCGTGACAGACTCCACGTGCACGGGTGGTCAACAGAAGCAGAGAACCAAAGAGTAACCCTTTCAGCCTGTTTCATGCATTCACTCTCTACTCTTTCACCTGTCACTAAAAGAAGGTTAAGGCTCAAGGCAACTACTACAAACAGAAACTGAACCATCCTAGTTCTCACAGGGCTCATTTGGATTAGCTCAAGGAGACAGAGGATGTTTATACGCTGATCACAATAGATCTGGAGATAATAATAATAATAAATCATATTAAAAAAAAAAAACACAGAGGCCTTCAGGTCCAGCACCAGCCTCTGCTAGAAATATACATCGACTACAGCAGCCCTGAAGACATATTCCATGGCTAAGGATCAAGTCCGCCTTTCCTGGCAATCAGCACAAGCGACAGACTCTGTGCTACTGTTGATAAAGTTCTGCTCAGTCCACCGTCCCACGCAGATGGCAAGGTTTACGGGATCGTCACGAGCTGCTGAATAAATAGCGCCTCACCCCTCCCTCCCTCCCTCCTCCAGTCATGTCATCAGGATCTCTTTGGGCTAAAAAGGGTTAACACCACAGTTTGTAAAAAGTTTTGAAATAAAAAGGTAACATACAGCCTTAAAATGTCTAAACTGCAAACAATGGTGGAGTTAACTGAAAAGCACGTGCCCCAGGATAGTACATGCGTACGAGGGAGAAACTTAACACGTGGGTCTGCTCATCTTTACACGTTAGGTGTGTTTCTTGTCGCTGGAGTATTTTGTAAGGAATATTCAGCACTTGGACAATGTCTCTTTCATCTCATCCAACAAGTTGCTAAGCAGGGTAGAATCATTACATTTTCCATCTATGGATACAGAATTCTCTCCCTTGGAAAGAAAGAGAAAAAAGAAATCCATTAGCTCCTCTTCTAAGCAGGGACAGCTTTATTTCCAGCCCAGCTCAGGGACTGGAAACAGCCAGTGGAGCCTGCACAGGAACGAAGCAGGCTGAGCTGAGCAGTCCGTTGGGGGAAGCTGTCAGGGCTCCTACCCACCAGGCATGCGCCGGGCAAGAGCAAGCCCACGGGGAGGTACAAGCTCAGTAGGAGCACAGGGAAAACTGTTAGATGGGCCACAGGAATTCAACGGCCCGTGGTGTCCCTGGATGATTTAGACAGGGATATTTCCCTCTTTCTGTTAAGACAGGAAAGGCTGCAGATTCAGCTTCTCTCAGGTCTTGTCTCAGACCGGTACAATGCTCTCACCTTTTTTACCAGTAGGCAGACGTGATGGCCTTGGATAGAACGACTGTACATGGATGCACACGAATCAACGCGTTCCACAACTATAAAGAAAGCGAGAGTTCTCATTTAGTGGGACAACTTTTTAAAACAAGCTTTGCTTCCCGTGAAGAGGAACTACTGCTGTGTCTGGCCTCAGGGAACAGACGCTTCTACTGAGAGAGGGAGAAGGAAGCCATGGTTAAAGACGATGTACGTGCCTGGCTCCTCCCAGCTCCTATCTGGGATATTTCACAATAACGAGGTTAGTCATTTGTCTTTTAAGTAAGCTGCAAATGTTTTGTGGCAAAAATGCTGACCAGAACGTACATCTCTTCCCCAGAAATACTTTCAGTGAGGCAGTATCTGATGCATACACCAGAGCACAACAAAACAGCCATTTGTTTTGCTTCATCCAGTACTTGTGTTTAATTACTAAGTCCAAATTTGAATAGCTCATGCCCTCCCCTACTGAAACGAAGCACCGGGGAAAGAGGCAGGCTGAAGCACTGAAGATCAAACACACCCTCCGGGGAACAGTTACAGCCCAAACTATAAGCAAGCTGCTCCCGTGATACTTGCCACATGCCTCACTGGACTGGCGGAAAGCCACAGAGACAGAAGGAGAGTTCATTTGGAAGAACACTGCATGCTTTGAGGATACCAATGTATTACAAAACCGGAAAAAAACTCCTCTCCCAAATTTATTTCATGTGGACCTCACCTGCTTCTGTCATTGTTGAGGCCATGGAGTGTTGCATTTGCCAAGCACAGCATTTTTTGAATACAGAATTTTACAGAAGGTTCTGCATCAAGGAAGACTCACCTGAAAAATGATGATGAAAACAGATCTTTGCCAGTAGATGATGGAAGGCAATGCTAATTCCATCTACTTTAATAGAGCTCATGTGCAGATCTCCAGACTCTAGGAGCTTGGCAAACGCATCACTGCAAAACAGGAAGGAAAGTAAACACTCGGACTAGAAATTCAAGTGTCATCTGCCACACCAGCCCCATGCAGACCTTGAGACATCTCAGGATGCAGAAGTCTAAGTACTACCATGCTCTCGGATCATGAATTTACAGCAAGTAAGTGAACCATACTCCAGACTCCACTGGAGTACCCTAAGACCTCAACCAGAGCTACTTCCACACGACCTCTGGCAGCCTACAGGGCACAGAGCTCCTTCTTCAGAATCTCTCAAAATATGTTGCCGGGCATATTTTAACAGTCAAACATTACACAAGATAACTGAACTGTAACCAAAGCAATCACAAGCAGCCAAAGTCACAAGCATGCTGTGTATCTTGCAGAGACGGCCTGCAGCCAAAGCTCAGCTCCACATGGGCGGCAAAAGCACCAATGTTGTGCCCCCTAAATGGCACTTACCTATAGCAAGGCGTCGTGATCAAGTATGAAGCACAACTGAAGTGCAATTTGAAATCTAGTTTTTCATGGGTTGAACCTTCATCATTCTGCAACAGGTCAAAGGAAAGGAGATGAACGGGAGCCCCAAGGCAGCAAGAGGCGGCACCACCCCCACCTACCAAACAGGCACCGATGAAGACTTCAGGGCTCGATTCCCTGGGGCTGGGCCTCAAGGAGCAGTCTGAGAATGACCATCACGCTACATCAGGCCACCCAGAGACAAGATTTGGGTAGCTGGGTTGATACACACCCCTACAGCAGATAAGGGATGCAACTGGAGGGATCTGGCTGTATTTTCGATTGCACCTTGCTGAAATGTATTGAGCAGACTGAATTTAAAGTAACACTTGGAAATGTCATTTTACAGTTCACTATTTCCCAAGCAAAATAATAAACTAGTATCTCCCAGATTCTTAGGCACTGAAAATAGGACTAGTACACTATTTTTAGGAAACCCTTAAAATAGAGATAATGGCTGACTCAGAAGTAGCCACAATTGTCTCCATTCAGTTCCTTCGAGCTGTTCACATAGCTCCTTCATTAATAATTTTACTGAAATAAGATTAGAAACCCACATAGTCTTATACAGGCCGATACTTACTAAACAATGCCTCCAGCTAACCTCACTCATATCTGGGTTTCCATCCTTACTACCTGTATCTACTTCTTCTTACTATTTTTCCAGCCTTGTACCAGGTAGCAGTGTCCAGCTGATCTCTGGATAACCGAGATCAGCAGCAACAGACTCAGGCTGCATCTCTCACTAGCTGCTTCACCGCCCCTCCCCAGCAGATGCACCACGGCAGTGATTTTCTAGCTTGGATAACCGAGATCAGCAGCAACAGACTCGGGCTGCATCTCTCACTAGTTGGTTGACCTCCCCTCCCCGGCAGATGAACCACGGCAGTGATTTTCTAGCGGACCATGTGGCAGATGTTTCAGGCTGCATTGCTCACACACTGCCAGGAATGACAATTTCGGACATGCTTACGCAGTATTTGGGACGCTCTTTGCACAAGATGTCATGTAGAAATACTTCTCACATCACAGAATGGGCTGGTGCAGCAGAGATGAAATGATGCCTAAAAAAGCTCTAAAGCATGATTGCCAAGAGATGCTTGGCTGTCACTGTTCCTTCTTATCACCGAGCTCTTCTTCTCCCACCCAAACCTGCTGGGGTCCTGGGGACTTTGCTGGGGTCCTGGGGTACTTGCTAGGGTCCTGGGGTTTTGCTGGTGTTTTGGGGACTTTGCTGGTGTCCTGGAAAATGATGCCTAAAAAAGCTCTAAAGCAGTGCCTCCCACCCAAGTCAAGCTCCCTTATGCAGTTCCAAAGGAAGCAGAAGCACAGAGTTTAAAGCTGCACTTACTTTGACTATAAAGGACAGTGTTCCTTTTAACTTCTGAGCCATAACAATACTCTGAAGTGTAAACACAAACTGGGCTTCATTAGAGATTCCTAGCATGAAGAGAGGAGAGCGAGAAGTCAGGTCAGAAAATGGTTTCCATATCTAAGTAATGGTTAGAATAAATGGATCAGTAGCAGCTAAGCTTTATGTACTGACTATTTTTGAACCAAGTTTGGAGTTTTCCATGCAGTTGGAAGAGAGTTATATGCACAATTCCTGTTGTGAAATAACAGTGTTGTTACAGCACTTAGCTCTTGGGTCTCTGAAAAGCAGCAGCGATAGCTGGCATCTGTAGAGGTGATCGAGCGAGTGCCTGGGCAAAGTATGTCACAGTGGCAATATATTTAAACTGTTTCTATTACTTGTATTTTCCAGTTGTTTTCAGAACTAACTCAAATTCTGTTTCTCTCTGGTTTTCTTCTAATATACAAGTGCCTTATACAGAGTAAAAAAAAAAATACTCCACTGCTTTCCATGGGGGATAAAAATACACCCAGAAGCTAATAAATCCCAGAAGACTTCTGTGAGCTGTTTCAGTATTCACATCAACTCTTCCATGAAGGAACTGAAATTCAAAGTAGTTCAGCGATTCAACTGTATTACTGTACTAAGTATTATCCTTCATCTCCGTGTGTAACACTTCTTAAGGGCTTAGCTCCCCCTTCCCCTCCAAATAAGCACATGCTTATCATTAACTTTCACTGCATGTGGTCTCTGTCATTAAAATGGAGGGACAATAGCGCAAGAATAAATTCAGAGCAGATTCTAGCGGTTCAAGAACCTATAGCTTTGTTTCATTTTCAATCTCTTAGCAATCTCCTCAGGAATTTGGGATTCCTGTAGCCAGCGATGCTGACACGTTCAAGGCTGGGCCAGCCTGCAGTCACTTGAAAAAGGACCTCAGACATTTGGACTCCCAGCCCTACGTTACAGGCTTTGCTCTTGCTGTACAGAACCGCCTGCGTTTATAGCCACACTGTAAGAAGGCTTATCCTCTCCAGTGAGCTGTGAGCAAGCCCAGTGAACACCCAGGCAGAGGGACATGTCTGTCTGGAAAACAAGCAGCAAGAAGTTCAGACAATTCTTTCCACAGGAGGGCAGTGCAGGACTAGCCATACTCCAAAAACTCTCTGCAAAGCTGCGCATACCAGGGGGTAGCTGGAAGGGCACAGGTATCCCATCATGTACTGATGATCCTTCTGGTCGGAGCATTTTAGTGTTGAGAGAGTCCAGGACATTTAGTTCCATGCTCTTCAGGAAGCTAGTGCTTTTGTTTTCAAAGATAACAGAGACAGTAACTTGACTATCATTCTGTAGGTTTCCTTGAATATCGTAGGTCTGCAAACGAAGAAAAAAAAAAATTCACAGGAAAGACTGACAAACCTCAAACAGCAAAGCATCAGAACAGAACACAGCATCAGAATAAAGAAAGCCACAAAAAGAAGGTAATTTGGTAGAGACACAGGATAACGGAAAGCACACTGGTGGTCAGCTCCACAGTACCGCTACATAGTAAACTTGCTAAGTGGGACATCCAAAGGAATGGAAATGGAGCTTTGTTATGTTTCTACCTCCTGGGATTTAAACAGTTCTTCAGTTAACTGTTGTCTACATAAAGTCCCTATACTATCCACAGGGTATCCCCTCTTTTGCTAAAGAACACAACAAGAGAAGACATCTGGACTTGAACACCAAAAACTCACCATTTTAATGTATGGATTTTCAGCGAGAAGGCGGTAACTGGACATAGGCTGAAAAACAAGAAAGAAATCACAGTCACAATGTAACTAATTTCTGTGAAAAGAGCTTGCCTTCTCCTTCCTCCCAAAAACAGTTTAGCTCCTGCCTTTTCCCCATGGCAAGCGCTCCCAGTGCCCACAGCTACTCACTGGTAGCGGTTCATCATCTAGTGTTCCATTCTGCACCGACCCTGCTGTCTCCTCCTCACTGTGATGACTCTTCTTTTTGGATTTCTTTTTATCCTTTGATTTCTCTTCTTTCTCTTTCTTGTGCTTCTTCTTCTTATGCTTGGAGGATTTCTACCAAGAACACCATGAAACTACAACAAACCCTTAAAGACACGCTATATTTCTAGCCATTAAATCAAGACACCCCCCCACCAATCTTTCAAACTGTAGACTCTCATGCTACGCAGCCTTCTGCACGACTCAGTAAAGTTTCCTATGACTGCAGAAACCCAAAACAGAGCTCCCACTCCTTAAATCCTATCGTCATTCCGTGTGGAGTCCCCGTAAGCCCTTGCTCCCCGCTCAGATGACAATACCTTAACCCAAAGCAGCCTGGGATCAGAAGGCGGCCAAATCTCTTCAACTGTTTGGAAGCTCAGCTTTAAAAATGCTGCCTGACCCTTGGCTCAAGGACCAACCAAACCTCACTGTGAAGTGTTTACGGCTCCTCAAGGGCACAACATCCCACTGCTGCCTATCTGCAGGTGGTCACCACACTGACGAGGATGCTGTTGGTAATTCCCGTGTCCTTCTTTTTAAGGAACACAAAACACTAGGAGAATACGGCTAAGGGTGTCAGCAACTTCAACCACTTACCTTTCCTTCATCATCCTCCTCCTCATCTCGCTCTTCCCTTTCTTCCTTTTTCACCTCTTGAGGTTCAGCCACAACAGCAGCACCCACTTCAGGCTCGCTCTGAGTAGATTAGCAGAAAGACTATGCCACTAATGGAACGCAGTGATTCCACAACTGAATCCCACACCAAAAGAAACCTTTGCAGTGACACTCCCCCCCACATCAACTGTTATTTCAAAAATTACGTTATACTAACAAGGTACCAAACTGTTCATTTTATGCCTCTGAAACCCAGCAAATACAATCACCTGAGGACAGATACAAAAGACTTCCTCCAAGGAATCTATCCCATTATATTCCCTGTCTCTTTCTCTCAAATCTCCTATCAAAATTCATGCAACTTTCTTTCAGACTGCGTGTCTCATGTCCATTAATATTGCCAGTGTCTAGCTCATACTAGGAAATAAAACCACACACTAATAATATAATATTAAAAACCACCAATAGTATTAAAATCCTCCAAGCCTGTAGCTGCATCTGGATTTCTACCCATTGATCTGCATAGCAGGAGGAGCATGAAAACTCTCATTACAGTGTCTGTAAACTGGGGAGATAAAATGTCATTGCTTCATAGCAGTAGGCTGGGGAGATGAAGCCCATCGTTCCCTTCGCTCCCGCAGCATGACAAAGCACTCCTATCGCAGCTAAGACGCAATCATAAGAACAGGTTTCCTGTGACGTGGTAAGATGTCTACCTGTGGCTGGGCAGTGGAAGCAGGTGGTGGAGCAGTGGACAGCCAGAAATCCAAGTCATCCCCCTGAATTTCAAGAGAAAACAAAACCATTACGGTTGTTTTGATACCACTCTTCAGAAAAATAAAAAAAACACCCATCAATTAAATTAAAACCTTAGGTTTTCATGGAAACGCATCACTCCAGAATGCTCATACACAGATGCCGTGATATATTTAGGAGCAAATAGTTCAAGCAGCTTCAGCCTTTGAGCACACTTCCAAACCTGGACAACAGTTGACAGTAACTGCGAACTACCCTGTGTATCACAATGTCTAGAGGCATTCCAAGCACAGTGGCTGCATCTTAAGAGGAAAAGTGCACCTCTGTGGAGTCGTTAACAAGAAGGATACTTCAAGTCTTCAGAGTAACTGACAACTCATGTCAGGTTTTATAATTGAAAGATTCTGAAGTACATGGGGGACAGGATATAGAACAAAAGTGAGTTGCAGATATTTTGCTAAAGAGTTCCTCGTTTCAATAACAGACAAAGTATCAGTAAACTCAGCTTCCAAATTAGGTCTGGAAGATCTGCTGCATAGGCTGCAGTAAGCTGAATTCTGCTAACTTACGAGGCTAAGTAAATGTTACTTTTAATAACAGAAATCTTTAAACACCTGCTCTTACGGTTGTAAAAATTTAAGGAAATAAGTTTGAAAACATTCAGCTGTTTGAATTGTCAAATGTGACTGTTCCTAAGCAACACACACAGCAATAAATATGGCCCATATTTATGGGCCATATGGCAGTTTCTAAAATAATGCAAGTCTTGGAGAATTACCTTTTTTTCTTCTTCTTCCTCCTCCTCTACTACTTTTTTCTCTTTCTCTTTCTTCTTTCCTTTGTCTCTCTCTTTTTCTTTGTGTTTCTTTTCCTTCTTTTTGGGTTTCTTGCTCTTCTTCTCTGCTAGGGGAGCTTCCGAGTCTGGTGACTTCAGGGTCTCAACATTTCTGTGTCTCTGCACTGGCAGCTTCTCACTGTCTGCTAAGGGTCTTAAAAATAAAGAGACCATTACCCTTCTGCAAACAGTCTCCCTTAGCTCAGACTATCTGCTGGATGTCCAAGACAATATACGCTTTGTTTTTAAAGAGTTGGGCCCCAAAACCTTAAATCAGCCCATACTTTTGTACCTGAAGTTCGTTTATGTAACTGCAGACACCACCCTCGTGGATTAGAAGTTAACAGAAACATTTTGAAGGCGACAGAGCCAAACTCTTGCTGACACCTGACCACTCTTAAAAGTGATAACTACAGACTTGCAGGCTGAGTAACACCTACAGAAGAATACAGACATGCAGCGTTATGCTGCATTTCTGTGACACCACTCTCAAACCAAGAGCAAAGATTAAACAGCAGGAAGCACTTGCAACAGTGTGGAAATTCAAGCAATGCAAAGACAGCATGGCTCAAACAGCCCTTGAAGGGCGTTGGTTTTGCTGTTATTGATGAATAGATCACTCCAACTGGAAGTTATTTCAAGCAATAAACTGTTTCATTTCAGAAGTTTATGCTATGAACCTGTACTCTACCATTACATTTTAAAAGTCGTGTTTAATTTCAGATACTTGTTTCCAAAAAGCATCAGTAGCAGCTCAGATCTACACTCTAGCCCAAATCCATCCCTTGAGGGGGGAAAAAAAAAAAAAAGACCACAGAAATGTCTCCATTCTTATCAAAGACTGTCATAGAATCACAGACTCATAGAATGCTTTGGGTTAGAAGGGAGGTTCCAAGGCCATCCAGTCCAGCCTCCTGCCACGAGCAGGGACATCTTCAGCCGGATCAGGCTGCTCAGAGCCCCGTCCAACCTGACCTTGACTGTTTCCAGGGATGCGGCATCTCCCACCTCTCTGGGCAACCTGTGCCAGGGCTCACCACTTTCAGCATAAAAAATTTCTTCCTTACATCCAGTCTAAATCTACCCTCTTTCAGTTTAGAGCCATTACTCCTTGTCCTATTGCAACAGGCCTCGCTAAAAAGTTTGTCCCCATCTTTCTTATAAACCCCCTTTAAGTACTGAAGTACTTCAAGTACTGAAAACTGTCCAGAAATCCGTGAGTTCACCAGTTGCCACTTTTTCTATTTCTACAGCTTTCACTTAACATTGGTTTTCATGTTTGAGCAGCAAACACCTGTTCAGGAAGATTTCTAAGGGTCTCACCTGCCTTAACTTTTTTGCTTATTGCCTGAAGAACCAGACCAAATTCATTTTTTACTTTGAAACAAACACTGCAAGGGCAAGATGGACCCCCCATCTGTTTGAGGAGTAAACAGATCTCATCTTTAAGCGATTTCACATATACTTCTAAAGGAACAGGGATCGATGCTGAACAATGCAACAGACTCACACTAATTTGAGAGTTAACGATTTCAACAGTTTCACCACCCTTCCAGTATTTACGCTGTCCACTGAAACCAACCAACCTGACAAAGCAGGTCAACCCCTTAGCAATACGTTCTTACCTGGAAGGCTTCCCTGAAACCAGACTGCATGCGAGCGTGACACAGACATAGCAGTGCAAGCACAGAAAGAAAGAGAGAGGACAGACATGAGAAAACGTGACAGGAGAGCACACTGACGCATATGAAATGAAGGAGAATGGATGGAAACAATACAAAAGCCCAAGGATGCCTCCTGGAGCACAGTGTTCAGAAACTGCTCAGTGTTTTCTAAGCCTGTCACGCAAATACAAGGTCTACAGTCAGAAATTAATTTCCTTTTATACATTTGTCCACTGCAGATTCAGAGGAATGTGACCAGTTCATGAAAAAACGAAGTTTTTCAGAAACTATTCTTTTACTTTTTAACAATGCTATGTCATTTTTTTGCAAGGTACCAAGGGGCCAAACCCCTACAGATTTGAAAATTGCAGAGAATGGCACAGACTTTAAACTGAAGCATTAGAGAGAGAGAGATACTACACACACACACACACACGTGTGCCTGCACACAGTCTTCAGAACTTTACAGAAGGCATCCATGGACCACAAATCAGCAACTATTTTTAGTGTGGTGATTTTGTAAAACAGCAACTAAAAAAAAAAATCTCCGTGGGAAATACTTAACATGCCACTGCTAATTATCCCGTGGCATGAAGGGATTCAGAGTCTGCTGCGCTGCAGCCTGGGGTGCTGGTAAACAGCTCCAGCAGCTGGATGGGGACCAGACTCCAGTCAAACTTATGATATGTGGTTCACTCAATCACATTAGAACAACATTTTTCAACAGTGGCATCACATTAAAATATCCACAGGGCTACGGGGATGCTAGGAACTGGCTGTTACTGGTCAGATTATCACAACACAGAACATACAGGCTTGCCATGCATACAGGGATTCTCAGACAAACACAGACGAAAACAGGTTACACTCAGTGCCAGTGCAGGTGAGGTCAGAGAGATACTGGTACACCAAAAAGCTCAGACTAACTCTCTCACATCTGATCCCAGCTACGCCGCCTGTGCTTTCAGACTCAATTCAGTCACACAAAATGGTTCCCCTGCCCCTCCCAAAACCCGGGCTGCTTCAGCAGTTTAGCTTTTATCATCTGTGCTGCAGTGGGAACCCAAGCCTGGATGATCACCTAAGGTTACATCCAAGGCATGGCGAGAAACTTTGTCTTTTCACCTAGTGGACTGCAGATAGTGCCTTTGCCAGTTTAGCCCCAGACCTGCCCTCATGCATTCTGGCTAATAATGAAGTAAATTCACATACAAAGCTGTCACTTACTTATCCAGATCTATATCAAGTGCCTTATATGGATCGTTGGGATCTTTGTCATCTTCATCACTGGGCAAGGCATTCTGCAGGAAAGAGAAAGAGGCCATCCACTGAAGCAGCGAACCACGGGCAATTCTGGAACTAAAGCTCTACATCCCCCAGATCAGTCTTTTACCATTAACCCCGGAACGGGCCAGCTTGCAGCCAGGCACAGTAAGCTACAGGAACAATGCACTTTAATGCAGCATCTAGTTACAAGATTAATTTAGAACAGAAAAGCATTCTTCATAAACTGCAGAATTTGAATTGCTGCTGTTTGGTTTTGATTAAAGGAAATTTTAGGAACAAATACAAATGCCATCATTAGCATGCGCAATTAACTCTAATCAGCTGCAAACGTGCTGACTAGACAGCAAGTTAATGTCAAAGCGAAGCAGCAGAGCAACTATTGGGACTATTTGGACAGCATTACTTTTATAGCAGAGATGCATATTGCTTGTTTTGTTTGGAGTTTTTTTTAATAGCTTCAGTGGCAATTTTTGTCTTTTTGTGCACAAAAAGACAATCATTTCCCTCCCTGCAAAGAACAGCCTAGGACCTTCTCAGTCATTTCTTGAACAGCTTTGCAAGAAATCAGAGCTTTTGAACTGCGACAATACAGGCTGGCTGGCAATTCTCAGGGAAAAAAACTCTCTCAAGAAGGGCACACAGACAAGCCCCACAACTCAGACCAACTGACCTCCGGCATCTCTTCTGTTATGATATCCACGTGGTGAGCTGGAGCAATATCCTCCTCACTCTCCGTGTGCAGAGAGTTATGGCGATGATGTTTACCTCTCTTCTCCTTTTTCTGTTTTTTCTTTTTCTTGTCTTTCTCCAGTTTCTGTTTATG